TCTCTCAGGCGATCCAAGAGGATGGCATGATCTATTGTATCAAACGCTAATTCAAGTAAACTGCAGTTTCATATTACAAAGTAAAAACCTTTGCAAAGTTCTTAAATTACAATTAAAACAAAAACATAAATGCATTCTCAAATATTCTTGAATATGGTCATAGAAATGGAGTGCAAAGTGAATAAGAACATTAAACAACTCTTCCAGCCAATACTTTCATATTTATTCACTCCTTCACATTTCAACATCAACAGTTCAAAAAACAACAACACACATTTGAAGGTGCATGTATTTTTTTAAAGGCATCACGTCTGTGTAGAAATAAAGTTGGTGGTCTTAAATTTAAGCGATACACAGCACAAATGTCCTCAAGTTATTATTTCTTTCATGGTCTTTTGCACAGAAACCGTATTAATCAGGTTCCTAGGAAACTGAAGCAGTTATGTTCCTTACCACCAACAATTTTCCTTGCTCCCAATCTGCTCTGAAGTAGCTGATTTAATTACTTTTTAACTAGAAATTGCACACAACACAGATTCAGTGGCCTAAGACTTGTGCCAGTGTTAGTAAAAAACACTAAAACTGTTTTATAATCATTTTACTGTTATTTCTCACTGTGAATAATGGTTTTGAAAGTCTGTTGATAAGTTTTAAAACAAATAGCTCTCCAGCCTAAAGAGCTCCAAGAATATTTTATACATACACACACACACACACACAGCAAATGATAGTGGATGCTGTAGGTCAGGGGTAGGCAACCTTTCCCCTTTAAGGGCCGAAGGACTTCAGCTCCCAGAAGCCTCAGCCATGTTGGCCAATAGTCCCATGTTGGCCAGTAGCTCCTGGGATTCTGGGAGCTGAAGTCCCTCGGCCCTTAAAGGGGAAAGATTGCCTACCCCTGGATTACTATGTTAGAAATTAGGAAGGATTTTCTATGTCATCCTGGTAGAGCTGGTGAGTGACTCAGGCAAAAAGGGAAACACTCTCCTTTCTATGCAGCATTAAGGGATATTACATATCTTCCAGACTGAGTCACAGGCATACAATTTTGTTGCACCTACCTAGCTTCCTGGAATCCTAAGCAATTAGTAATTTGTGCTGTTGTTTTGTTGTCTTTCCTACATAAATCTTTAGACACTTGCACTGTATGGCATAGATAACAAATTTGCTATTGCAAGTAGTCTAAAGCAGGGGTAGGCAACCTTTCCCCTTTAAGGGCCGAGGGACTTCAGCTCCCAGAAGCCTCAGCCATGTTGGCCAATAGTCCCATGTTGGCCAATAGCTCCTAGGATTCTGGGAGCTGAAGTCCCTCAGCCCTTAAAGGGGAAAGGTTGCCTACCCCTGGTCTAAAGTTTGTTAGTGTGGTCTGTGAACTCAGTCATCTTGGAAGTATACCTGCAACAGAAACAAAGGCCACAGGGGTGTTCTGTTGGTTTGATTGAACCCATCAGAGTGTTGCTAATATGTTTGTTTTTATTCCCTGAAACAGCAACTCATCAAAATGTCCCTAATGTTTCTGGTTCTTCTGAATGAAATCTGGGGCTTTTCTTGACAGCCTGACATATGCTTTCTGCTTTCCGATAAAACCATGTATACTGTTGATAAATTCAAGTGAAAGTGAGACTACAATTGAAATGGCTGGATTGTGGTCTCTTCTTCTTCCTCTTCTTCTTCTTCTTCTTTAGTAGTCCTGAATATGATATTTAAGATGCCTTGTGTCCATTGATTGGTTTATCAATATATAGGCAAGTATTGGCAACTGTGGGTTTCCTACTTAGGCAGGTGGTGAGGTGACTTTTAGATTCAACAAGCAGATTTCTAAATTGCTATAATTTGTGTTAGATCTAGCCCCAAATATCAGTTGTTCTGTAAACCCACTGTCATGACACATGATCTCACTTTCAAACCTCTCCGTGTATAAATTAGCCACCTCTGGGGGTCAAGGGGATCTCATGGCCACTCCTTTTTGTTGTTGCTGTTATCGTGTCGGTCTCGATTCATGGCGACCCTATGGATGAGACATCTCCACCGCCCGTCCTCTACTGCTCTGCCCAGCTCCTGAAAACTCTTATTTGTGGTTTCTTTAATAAAGTCCATCAATCTAGCATGCGGCCTTCCCCTCTTTCTACTTCCCTCCACCTTCCCTAACATTATTGTCTTTTCCAGTAATCCATGCCTTCTCATGATGTGTCTGAAGTACAACAGTCTAAGTCTTGTCATCTTGGCTTCTAGGGATATCTCTGGCTTGATCTGCTCTAGGACCCATTTGTTGGTCCTTTTGGCTGTCCATGAAATCCTCAGCACTCTTGTCCAGCACCACATTATCTCAAATGCGTTGATTTTCCTCCTATCCTCTTTCTTGGCAGTCCAGTTCTCACATCCATACATGGTAACAGGGAATATGATGGCTTTTATGATTCTGACTTTTGTGCTGAGTTGTATGTCTTTGCATTTTAGGATCTTTTCTAATTCTTTCACATTACCTACCACTAAAAACTGTTCTCAGATTTAAAACAATTTTTTGTCAAGGCTATTTCAGCCAGAGAAGTTAGGAAGTGAGAAGGAAGATATTTCACTCCTCTACCACCCAAAATTTGGTGTAAGATGGTCTCTAAAATAAAGCAGAATCTATTGAGCACTGTACAATGCAAATCATTATTTTATTATATTAGATCTCCACTATTAACCAGTTTTTGATAAACATAATAATAAGCTCTACAGGTTTAGGAAGCTGATGTTTCATTCTTCTTATTAAAAATTATTAAAATATTTATATCCTGCCCTCTTCCATAGATCTCACAAGGAACCTAGCTTTCTTTTTAGCCTTTTATTCAAGTAAGTTGCCAAATTTCATTCTCTCCATTATCTTTAGTTCATACAACCCAGTATTGTCTACTTCAACAATAGGGTTTCCCATCTAATGTCATGTGAGTTGACTTGTGTTTGTGCAATGGACACCTTCCTGCACTTCCTCTCTTCTTTGGTCCCTCATACATCCTCCAGTTTTCCAGAGCAATTTTGAGGGTGCAGGGAGGATGAATGGGGAAGAATTTTTTCCACCTGAAGCTTCTAATCAACTGGTGGACAAACATCACTGGATTCAGTCCTAAGCCTCAGTTAGAAATCTTTTACATCTTTGAGCTGGAGAAGCCCAGAATTAAACCTAAGGCTATATGGCCAAAACAGCTCCCCCAGATGCTTTTTGGATTTCAAGATACCGTTTTTTAGCCGTCACAGGGGAATCCTAAAGAGAGAGCTGGTGCACTGGAACCTTGCTATCTGAGGCTTCTGCCTCCAACAAAGGTAAAACATTTTTTTTCTAATATTGGGACTGGATTGGCATGCTTTACCTCTACACCACTTTAAGTTTTCCTGATGCAAAACATGAAGACTTCTTGAGAAATTCAGTGTTCTCTATCTACAAAGGAACCTGTGGCTTCACAAAGGAAGGAGACATGCTGGATTCCGATGAAAAATCTTCCTTGAATTGCAAATGGTCATTAAATTCCCTTGATTTTGAAAATCTCCCAGTGACCAAAAAAAGGGGGAGGTGCCAGCCTGTAGATAGCCCTCCCTACCATCTGAACTACGACCAGAAACAGAAAATGCAGATCTATGACTAACATCTTCAATTTTTTTCTCCTGTTTGCCTGATGAAGAAGCCAGTGTGAGTTTGAAAGCTTGCAACATGTAATTGTGCATTTTGGTTGGTCCAATAAAGGTATCATTATTTGGATGTTATTGGCTAAGATTGTCTAGTTCAGGGACCGGCAACCTACAGCCCCCGGGCCGGTTAAGGCCCAGGTCGC